AATTCACCGAAAAACAGACTTTCTGCGTAATGAGTGTAGGAACACGACGCGGAAATTTATTTGACGGCGTCATTTTTAAAAGCGTTTAAACTATTCTTTACGTATTTATTAGATATTTGGGATGCAAATTGAATGTTAAACATGCTAAGATAAATATGACACTTTATTTTTTGAGAAGAGAAGTATTAAATAAATAAATAATATTTCAAGTAAATGCTTGGTTGAATGTCTCGACAACGATCCAATTTTAGTTACAATACTTTATTGTAATTATAATATGTGAGCCTCGTGTAATATAAATAACATCATCTGCTATAAATTTTGCTAATATCAATAAGAACTTAAGAAGTATTGATATTTAACGACTTATCGATTTAGAAAAACTGCGAATCTCGTGATCGTCTCGCATCTGCCTCGCTCGTAAAATCTCCATTAAACATCTACGACGTGCGTGCGTGATAAAGTATCGGCTCTTCGGCCAAATGGTGGTGCGATGTCTACATAAGTACCTCTCGTTCGCCACGCCATTGTCGGCCAGCTGAGATTCAATCTAACTGAAACGAATTCCCAGTATCTCGAGTACTCTCCCCGGCGGCAGGACAAGATGTTCGCGGATGCAAAGTGTAAATCTCTCGGTGCTAATTGAAACGACGACGCGCGAAGGAAACGACCAGCGGCGTTGAGGGGATTGGATGAGGTCGCTTCGTTTCCTCGACAGTACGATGGCGAGGAAATTTTTCCTCACTTTTTTCTTTCCTTCCCGCGTTTATTTCTTTTTTTTTTCCATCCTTTCTTGCATTCCGGAGTTTCGCAACGTATTCATTGAAGTACCACGAGTAGAGTTCAGTTTCATATCGCTGCGAAAAGGTGACAACACTCGACTGTATTACGTCGAATAAAGATGACGGATAGAGGACTTGAAAGAGGAAAGTGTTACGAAAAGAGGCAATTCTTGCATCAGTTCATTGCAAGTCTTTTTGACTTTTGCGCTTTTTTAAATATATTGGCAGATATCTTCTCGCTTTTAATAAGTGTCTTATTAACTTTAATTTACAGGGTGGCGTAAACTATTGTCATATTATTTGTTTTAAGTATAAGACCTTTGTTTATAATGTGTTATCTTCACTTCCACCTAATTTTGATTTTGATATCATACCTAATAGAATTTTTACGAAGTATAGAATTTACTCACACAGTTAATAGGGTCGATGTACCTCAAATATACTTTAATGACACGATTAAACGGTATGACGTTTCGTACGCCTTGTATGAATATTTAACGGATATTTTATTGGTCTTACAGTTAAAAGAATCAAACTACACCACATGTGTAGTTTTAATGACATAATTAAATGGTATAACATTTCGTACGTTTTGTGTGAATATTCGACGGATATTTTATTTGCGTACTTTTGCGATCATGATATATTCAATTTATTATCGTCTGTATATCTGTAAATTTTTGTAAAGAGTACTATTCTTTACGTAGATATGAGAATCACAATGCATGGTTGAAAAGGACTTTCTTTTCATACGCCTTTACTCTTCATTTCAAAAAGCAACGCTTTGATCGTTCGCGTTGCACAAACCCGGCGGAAACAAGATGGATAAAGAGAACGAATAAGAAATGGAATAAGAGAAGGAAAAGGGAGAGAAATGTGGTTCGGATATCTACGTGACGTTTTGGACGTGATCGTCCGGAGGAAAATCTATCCTGCTTTTATTTTCGATCCCTCGAATGCCCTTCACTTTCCTCTTCTTTCGTCTGCATCTCGAGTGCTGCTATTCATTCACGAAGGTTCTCTCGAACCACCGAGCACCCTCGCGCTCTGGTTGAAATGCAATCATTTGGGAGACGCGGTGTATTCCAGGAGAATACAAATTTAACTAGCTCGTTCTCTCCGAGGCGCGCTTTTGTAAGCGATTTTATATTGATAATGGCGTCTTAGATCTTTTTCATTAACGATTATTTCTACATCCTCTAAATCCTTTTTACCACCGTTTCCTTTTAAGGAGCTTCTTTTAATCGTTCAATTACACGCAGGAAGGCTGCGTTTTATAGTAGATGCACGGTGTAAGCCGAGCTTGCCACTTGCCGGGGCTCGTAATTATCAGGCCGCGTAACGTATCGTGCCTCATTAAACCGAGCTGTAAAGTTGGCGCTAAGGAAACATGGAATCCTCGTTGGGACAACTTGTTGCTGTCGTAAAAAAATCATTTTCATGGAGACGTAAACGTTTGTTTACGGTACAGTGCTTAAACTTTAGTGCCACTCGTTTGACTCGCGTTCTTTCAAATCGAACTCGCCACAATTATTTTTCAACTTTCTACTTATGACGATAAAATTACAATAATTGATATACCATCGATCAGTATATAAGCGGATAGAATATACAGCACGTTAATCGTTTCATGCGAC